ACTGTTCGAAAAATATCAGCAGTTGAGTTCTGATCAAATTTTCTGGTAAAGATCGGCAGTACCGTTTCTTCGTAATGATATCTATAGGCAAAATGCTACTTACACCGAGTTTTATATATCATGCGGAATAATTTGCTTTTTCCAAAAATAACTTTATTGAAAGTACGTGGCTCAATTCAAATTGATGCGGAATGAATTTTAAAAGTTTGCTTTATACAAAACTGATTGAAAATCACGAACTGGGACTAAATGATTACATAAATTTAAATACATCTGTAAGTAATCTGTAGAAAAGAATAAAAAATATTCATAAAGTTTTACTATGGCATAGTAAATATACGCATTCAGACTATTAATTTATGAACTTGTAAATATATTCTATTGTAAATACTGATTTGCAAAACGTAAGAATAATATGAAGGTCTTATAAGATAATTTACTTAAAATATAAAGAATTCCTAAAAATAATGCTTATTGACATAAAGCACTTGAAAATAGATTTTAGTATATGTCGTTGAAAAGGCCATTTATATTTAATTTAAAATTATTTAAAAAAAACTAAAGCAATTTAAATATTTATAATTAAAAGTTAAATATTTTGAACCATTTGTAACACAAATAACCTACTACTAACCCCAGTAAAAATACTAGTCCTAAGAAAATAATTAATAATTAATAGATTTAACTCTACTTACACACAAATTTCAAAAAATTAATTAAAATTACAATATTACACGTGTAAACATATTTTATTTCTACCAAAACAACTAAATTAAAATAGCCATTACGTTTGCTATAAAAGTCCCACGTATTTCTACAATAATATGAAAATATTTACTCTTCCTGGCTTATAATTGATTTGACAGAGGTAATTATTACAGAATCAAGCAATTATTATGACATAGTGTAATAGTAAATATGAGCAAATCTGTTTACCTGTTTGTAAAAGATTTTTGTAATTAACAACAAATGATACTGTAGTGATATCAATATTTACCTCAAGCTCCTGCATATAAAGTTGATTTATAGATAGAATAATTATTTTAAAAAATCAATTGCAGAAAAAAATAAAATGTAAGTAAATGAAGTTCAACATCTAATAATAATTTTTTTTATCATTTTTTATTAAAAATGAATGATTTTTATCGAACGAGTGTAGAGTTTTATAAGCAACGCGTAGCAATAAAAAATCTTTTACAGACTTTACAATTACAAATTAAACGTTATCCTTCATTTAATTAAAATAAGTAAACATGCAATAATATAATATAAATACCTATTTTCTAAAGATTTTGTTCCATGGAGGTCATCTAGTATTGTATGTATACAATTTGTATGGATATATCCACAGAATTCTCTAAGATATGTTAATTTATCTCAAGGGCCATTGGCTAAGACGGTGGCTAGCCAGTATTCCATTATTTGTTGTTATCTATAAATAAACCAAAATCCATAAATATATATAAACATACTTATATCTAATACATATACACATATTATTTATATTATTATATATATGCCTTGAATTTTTTACATCTGGATATGTCAACAAGCGGTTTCCACAATGCATATTAATTTAATCTTATAATTGTTGTGTTTAATTTTATAATTATTATATAATTACATTATTATCTAAGATTATATATATATATATATATATATATATATACAGTGGTGTTGTCGAGCCGGAACGCGCCGGAACGTCGTTCCGGCAAATCATTTTTGAGCCGGAACGCGTTCCGGCAAGAAAAAATATAAAAACATCGCTACATACAGAAAATGATTTAATAAGTAAATTTTATACGTTATTATTCAACTAATTTTTATTAAATGTTATTATTGTAATAAACATACATATATGTGCACAAAATGGGTTTTGTAATATTTTTGTTTTTTTCATTTTTGAACGGAACTGGAAAAACATGAAAACCGGTTTTAGAACCGGTTTTTAAATTTTAGCGTTCCGGCAAAAAATATTAGCACAAAACCACTGGTTTTATCAAAGTCGTTTTTAATTTAGTAACAAATTGAGGTGTATGAACTTCTTATAGAAAAAATAATATTTATAAATTAAATCTTACATTCATTCGCATTTCTTATACGCTAACATCTACATCATAGGTTCCTATTCATGTATTTTTATAGCCTTAAGTGTGCCTATACGTTGCATTCTATACTACACGCCTTACATCTGTACCATACGCTATATTTCATTATATACTCTCAAATCCCTACATTGTAAACCGAATACACCTAACCTATATCTACTATATATTCTATTACCTATAATTTGCCTTACACTCTACATTAACCCTACCGAGATTCGAACCCGGGTCCGCCGCGTGGCACGCGACGACCTTATCCACTACACCACCGTAACGCTACAATCAACCGTCTTTTTTCGCGTGTCGTCGCGCCACCTTAGTATTAATTACCTAATTAATTAGAAAATGACCAGCGGAAACAACAGTGCGTCCCATATTATATTATTGGTGGGGGTATCCGATAGGGTAGTGGCTAAGGTGCGCGACTTCCACGCGGAGGTCCCGGGTTCAATTCCCGGTATAGACAATAGATAATATATATAATAGGTAGAGATAATACATAGAGCGTAAGCGTAAGGTAATATAGGTGAATATATAAATTAGACAGTAGTATTTATAAGAAGTAAAAGGTCTGTAGGTATATAATAAGTTAATGACGGTATAGGTATCTCACGGTATGATAGATAATAGATATCTATCTATGATATACAATAACATAGTATAGTATGCTAAGTAATAAGTTATCTATCATATTAATAGGTTAAGTCTTATAAAGTATTGTAATAAATCTTGAGTACTTTTATATCATAATAAATACCTGTAGGTATTAATGAATATAAATAATACCAGAATAAATATGATTAATGTCATTAAAGAATATAAATTATGTACTCAATGATTCCCTCATACTTGTACAATTTAATGTATAGACTAGCTGTGTATAATAGAGTTAATTATATAAAAAGTCAATATTTTAGATTTGTGAGTTCTTATCGAAATATATCAAATTTTTTGAACCGGTTTATGAACCGGATTTTAAATTTTAGCGTTCCGGCAAAAAAAATATTAGCACAACACCACTGTATATATATATACATGTAATCAAAAAGCATAGCAAATGTACACATATTAAATAAAACTTTGAAACTTTTTGTATATACGAGTAGTTTCAATAAAAATGCAAATGAACTAATTCTTTGTAATGCAAGAACAGCAAACTTTATTTTTGTTGTCATCCAGCTGAGTTAAATATTATATAAAAAATATTCAGAATGTGTAATATTTTCTATGTAATATTCGTATTCAACAAATGCTCCATGGTACATTTCGAACGTTTGCTTTCATAAATATTTAAAAATTCCGAGTGCAGATAAATATATTAAGACTAGAAGTACATCCTACAATGATAAATCGTAATCAAAAATAATAACCAAAAAAAAACAACCATTCATCAAAAAACAAAAAGAAAGGGCTCTGGAATCACACAAAACTATGACGTATTACATTTTTATATTTTTAGGCAACTTTATTAAATTATTTTTATTTTATATATATTTTTTTTTTCAAAAAAAAATGTATTATATATTCTCTATTTTCTTACCCTTATGTTTTATGATAAAACTGTTTCAGGTTTGAATGACAAAAACAAATAGTTACTTAATAATAATTATTTTTACCAAATTGATAAAAAATGGTGAATTATCGCAGCAATTTTCAATAATTTCATTCGCAAGAAGTAAAAATGCATATGTATTTCAACCACGACATATGAGGCATTGGAATAATAGTCCTATAACTGGAAAATCGCTCTTATCTCAAGAATATCAATTTCACATCACGTTTCATAGAATTTATGGGAATGAATTATGGAGATGTAGCAAATTCTTTTGCTTTAGTGACGCTCCCACACGAATACAAATAGTTTCAATTTTTACATAAAATTGTAAGTTTGGACAATATATATAAAATATTTTGTTCAACAATATTCATTATTTCATCATTTTTGAAATTTAAATTTATTTAATATTTCTTATTTTTACAACAAAACTTTACAGCCAGCTTTAACAACATGGCTTTTTAGAAGGCTGCCCAATGGTTGACCCATTTATTTTTATTATTAGAATGTCCTCTTATACTATGATATTTTAAAACTTGGTGCAGCAATTTAGAGAAAAAGCTCTTAGAAACATATTTAGATCTACTCTTTCAAGTGAAAACTGATATCACTACTCTTTGATATCAGGCTGTTTGAGATTGCTATTGAACCTGAAACCTTTTGGTTGCTAAGTCAAAAGCTCTTACCATTGACAAGCCACTTAGGAAATATATTAAACATTTATTATAGCTTATAGGTTCAAAATTGGATGCAAATAGTGCAGTTTGCTATTTTTATTGCTATTGCTTGGGTGGAGCGACTATGGCGGATGCTGAGCACGCCATTATGGAGTGCAAAAAATCAGAAAAGGGTAGACAAGAACTACGGAGGAAGATTGTAAAGAAAAAAATCTCCCTCCCAACCAATTATATAATATTATTGACAAAGAAAAGGATATATGGTGCAAGATTTATTATAAAATGTATGATGACTAATGTACGTGTATACAAAGTCAACAAATATACAATAAAAAAATGTATTGTACTTCACTTTTTATGTACAAAACTTGAAAAAAAAATTATTTTTTGGAAAGAGAAATTTTGTATAATGTTATTTATATTTATACATCATTCGAAATGATATATATCACAGAGAAATTTTAATTGACATTATATTGAACTTGAATTGTCATATCTATAATAAATGTGACAAAAATTAAATTGCATTTAAGTTTTAATCATTTCAATCATTTTAATTAATTTTGTTATACAAATGAGTCCAAACCAAGAAAATATAAGTACATTGAAAACAAGTAAATTTATTTTTGTGTCACGATTCTCAAGTGTGACTTTATAGCTTCTCGTGATCCTATCCTTCCAATTTACAATACATCCTCTATTAGAGGAGCATCGTTTACTTCGACAACTTCTTCGGCAATAGTTCCGCTGTTGGTGACATCTCCACCCACTGCATTAACGTCTGACATCACGCCATCATTAACGTTTGGCAAGCCACCAATTGGAGGTACAACGTTGCCACCATTAACTGGCAAGCCACCAACTAATCCGCCACCCAACTGAGAGCAACTTCCACCAACACAGTTTTCGCTTTGTTGAGCCAAAGCCAACATGTTTATCAAAGGTTGCATGATGTTCGTGAAATTGTTGATTGCATTTGATACCTATAATAATATAGTATTTCTTGAAAACCATCTAAGGTTGTACATTATTCGTCTAGTTAAGGTTTTAGACAATTATATGTAAGTTGCCGAGTGTATATCAAGGAAGATTTTGATTATATGAACGCAAAAGCTTAGAAGCACTATTTTAATTACAATATTTTTTATCATAATGAATCAAATTTAACACGTATAAAGAAGTCAATTTCTTGGTTTTTCACTCATTAATTATTTATTAACTCATCAAATTTATTACAATTAAAATTATTGGGTTATTGCAAAATTTTAATTTATCCAAGCCAAATGCTAACTTTTAACTAGCGATTTCCAAAAGTTTTAAATACGGCGCAATTTTATCATATTTAAAGGTTGCTTTTTGATTTTTCTAAAAATTTGCACAAAATTAATTAATAAAATTTCTGGAATAAAGTAAAAGAATACCTTACACAATATTTTACTTACGTAAGGATTATTTCCGAGGGATTGTATAATTTGTGAGAACAAAGTCATAGCATTTTGCAGAACATCTTGCAAGTCCGCCATCTATAAAATTATATAGTTGATTTTTTAAACTTTAAGTTTAATAAACTTATTTAATCGAATAGTAAGTATATCTTACGCTCTCAGGACCATAGGTTGAGGTTGAGTCCAAAGATGATGATGGAAATGCGTATGCGGAAAAGGCACAAACAGCCAAAACAATCGCAAATCTAATTTGCAATATTATTATTAGTCAATTTAAATTTTTTAATTACACAAAAAAAAAATTAAAATAAAATTATGCACTGATATACTCACAAAGCTTGCTTCTCCATTTTTGTTCCTTTTTGATTTACAATGGTCACAATCTCGACAGAAACACTTGTGAGAAAGATGTAATTTTGGAAAAGCTTTGAGGAGTTTATATATGAAAAATTGGTTCAGTGGCGTCGAAAAAATTGATTAATAATCATATCATCATAATATAATTTCATAAACGACTATAATATTTAGTAATGAATTTTTTAAAATGCAATTGTTCTGTGAAGCAAAAAGTCTTTTCATTTGATTCATCACCAATTCGCATATCATTCTCATTATTCATCATCAATAATTTGAAAAATTATAAATTTCCCAGTTCAATTCAAAATGTTGTGGTACTAAACTGTAGTAAAATCAGATTGAGATTTAACAGCATGAGCACAGGAATATGTAGGAGGAAGTCCCGTAACGCCGGACGGCACCAAGCACCGGATACTCTATTTAACACGTATTATTTAAGCGAGTATAAATCTTTCCATTTCAAAATACGAGTGAAAGGGGCATGGGGGGCACACAGGTACAAGATCACACGCCAAGCCTCTCCCGTGACGCACACGGGCACGCCACTAGGCGACTTCCCCCTAATATAAACCATTGATAATTATTTTTTATCATTGATTTTAAATTTCATCATCGTTGTATCGATAACGTTGTAAATTATATGCAGGAAGATTTTTTTTTAAATTATCTGAGAAGATTCTTCCCTACGCCGCTGGTAGATATCAGTCGAGTTAAAATTCTGGAAACTACAATTTCGTGAAAAAATTTGCTTTTTTGTCCTTATGCAATGATAGGAAAAATTGAACCGCAGTTCGTGACTAAAACAATCGATACTGCAATATGTAGTCCATGTGCAAGTGATATGGCAGAATTATATAATCATTTTCCCAAAATAGGTCAACTAGTCAATATTTGAAGAATTATAAATGTTTTGATATAACTCTTTATGTATAAGAAAAAAGTAGTTGTTGATAATCACACCATATAAAATAATATTTGATAATTATTATCATTCATGCTTAAAAAAGCAAGCATATAGTGCTCTCATGGTCCAAAATTTTCGATTCGATTGGCAGTAATACCACTGCTTCATCTTTTTCTTGTTAAACAATTAGAAATAAATAGATATTTATATAAAATTATGTGGTAATAATAAATTTTGTGTATAGGGCATCTCCAGTGATTTGGTCCCCCATTAGAAATTAGCCAGTGCTAATTGTTTTCATTTCTTTAATCTGCTAGCTACTTTTTACATAATCTTTCAGTTAGTTTAATTCTTGTTAGTTTCTTGAAATTTTGTATTTAGATGTTATGGTTAAATTTAAGATAGTACTCATTGCCAACGTTTCGTATAACATCTTGAATGATATGATTATGATGAAGTCATAATGGTTGGTCTCATAATATCTCTCATGAGAATTTTATTTTGAGATCTTGTTTCATCTTTGATAAAGATGTTTATATCAATCTCTCATTTTTTGCGGATGAATCATTTGCTCAAGATGAAAGGGTTATGTGTTATATTTTTTTTACTGATTACTACATTAGACAATGCCATTACCCAAAGAAAATAGAACGCCAGAATAATTGTGGTTGGCCTCATAAAAGTAAACTGTTTTCGAAGGAATTCATTTGTTGATAGTCGGAGAACGAATAAAATGTTTATAGGTTTTTGTCGAATAAACAGTTTATAAAAGGAAAATCAAGTTTTGATAAGGCTTAAGCAAGTTAAATATGATCTAAAAGCAAAAGTACCCATAAATGTAAAAAAATGCACCATGTAGACTATTTGATCAAATATTAAATGAAACAATAACATTGTAAGATTAATATTAGGAATCTTTTCTTATCTACATTTTATTTAAAAAAAATATATTATTGTTTTGTTTAAGAAAGATAAATTTCTGATAAAAGGAAAAGAAAAATTTCAATTTCATATTTATTTAGAAAATATGTAAAGGAACAGCTCCAAAATTTTTTGAAGCATAAAGTAAATGTTCTCTAAATTAGATCTAGCACAAAATTAAGAGATTGGTTAATTCATAAACGCAGACATCAAGTAATTAAATGCGTACAAATTTAGACAATGACAAAAGCCTCCTCGAGGATTACCCTCTAGGAGGCCCCTGCCAGACGACTTGGTAATGACAATACCAGGGTAATATTGGAAGAAAAACTCATTGAAAGTTTGTCAATCTCTAAATCTATGACAATGGCCAGAATATTTTGTATTTGTAATGTTCTTTTTTAATCCTACAGTTTTACTCATTGTTCCTTTTAGGACAGGTGTAAAATAATTATTAATATAATACAAAAAAAGAAAAAAACAAATCCATGAACCAAAATATAGTTTATTCTATAAAATGAAAAAACTTAGAAATTTTCATTTACAGAAATACATCAAGTTCACAAAAA